TCCAAAGCATCCTTTAAAAGCTGGTGAGCTTGTTGTCCTCCGCTTCCCTTGGCTTGGCTGGGCAAGGCTGGCTCCTGCCCCACTGCCATGAGCCGGTGCCCACAGCCCGAGCAGCTCCTTTCTGAATGAGCACTGTGACAGCTGGGCCTTGTACCAGCAGAGCAAAGCTGTGAGCTGGCAAGAGCACCTTGGGCTTTGTAGATCACGTTTTGGGAAGTGTTTGCCACATGGCATACAACTAGTCTGTAGTATGAATACGTACATGGTTGGACCGTGGAGTAGATCCAAGTGGACGTGAAACTGAAGCAGGGATGCTGCAGTGCAGGGGATGTTGTGGCCATGAGCCTGAAAAAACAGCAGGAAAGAAGCTCACAGAGGGGCTGTTGGCTGGTGTAGTGCAGAGCAGTCTCAAAAAGGACTGAGGACGTCAGTGGTCGTCACTCAAGACCTCACCAGAGTGAGTAGTCATTTAATAAAACAAAAAATGAGCATCTCAAAACCTGATTTGCAAAATAAGGTTGACTTCACGGAGGTTTCGTGGAGATTTGAGAGAGCTTTTGGTCTCTGCTGCACACTGGCAACAGTGGAGGGGGAACCTGGCAGTCCCTGTTCGACTGTCGCAGCATCTCAGAGCCGAGTCTGACCCACACAGTGCAGAGGGGCTGGGATAACTTGCAGCCCCAGCACAGTGATCCATACAGCGAACAATATTGGAAATTAAAGGTCAGAGAATTGATAGTAAGGCTTAAGAAAACAGCAATTAGGCTGCTAGGAAGAAAAGCTAAATTACCAGTAGTAGGAGTAGTGGGGGGGGGGGAAAGAGGATTATTGATCTAAATATCAAGTTGGCAGATACACAGAGTACAATCTAGAGGTTTTTTACACCTCTGGGCTTATTCAACCCCCACAGTAAAAAATGCAGGCCTATAAAGATGGAATAAGAAGCAATCAATTAGGATGGCATTTGCTTATTTCCGTGCTGCGGCTGGGCAGGCACATCACAATTAATGATTTATTAGGAGATTTTCATCACTTTTTTTTTTCCCATTTTACACAGATTGCTGCAACCAGACCGCAGTTGTTTATTAATTTGCCTTCTATTCAAGCATCTTTGTTAAATATCATGCGGAAAAGGTAAACCCTTGGCTGGGGTGCCAGCAGGGGGTTGGGTGGAAGCCCTGAAGTGTGAGGAGCTATGGGTTGTATTCAGGCTGGGTGCTGCTCCCACAGTTTGTGTGGGCAACTGTAGCCCTCTGAGTGCTGGGAGCAGAAACTGGGGAGGGATGGGACTCCCCACCACCAGGTGCACACGTGCACTCCTTCATCTCATTTCGGTTTCTCTCAGCCTAAGGGACCCAGAGAGAAGATTCAGCACTTTGCAGCAGTCAGAGCTGTCAGGGGAAGGGCTCAAAGTCTAATAAGAGGACTGAGATGCCCTTATTCTTCTGCGTTAATCCATAGCTATAGGTCATGAAACACTTTTCTCCAGGCAATTCTGCCTTCATAAACTGCTGCTGCCTGGAACAAATGTTGCGTCATCATTAGCGAATTTTGGAGACGACAGAAAGATCTTTTCTGCAGACATTCATGTGAACAAGTCTTTGCTTTCACAGCTTTTCAGGAAAACCAGCTAGGGAGAAAAAAAAAAAAAGTAAGAACAATGGAAAAAAGGAATCCCCTTTAGAAGGAAACCTGAATAATAATCTTTATATTCATCTGTCTCAATTCCACACCTCCCTGGGAATGGCTGCAGTGAGCTAATTGGTTTTACTCGGCTGTGCGTGGCTTCACGGACCAGACTCCAGATTTATTGCACAAAGTCAAGTCATGGTGTGAATTCATCATTTGTCCCCCATGTCAATCCCTTTCTCCTCCAGAATGATATTTGTCTGTGTGTTTATGTGCTGTCAGGTCCGAGTGAGATGAAAGACAAACTCTGGGATTAACCAATTTTAGTACCAGACCAAAAATCAGAATGAATTATTGCCTTTTCAGCAAGACATGACTTCAGACAGCCCAAATCCAGAGGAGTGGGAGAAGGGCTTTTGCCAGCACAGGCTTTTATAGGAGGGGAGGAAAAAAGATCCTACAGAATTTAAGGATTTTAGAACATGCCAGTTTCAGAACAAATCCTTATCTGAGAAGGGAAGCGAAGTGTGTAACAATCAGCCATAGAAATCCTGGTGAATGGTCTTTAGAAAGCACTCTGGAAATTAAGGACTTCAAATGCAACCATTGAAAGTGAAGCTAAATTAAATACAGGAGAATATGAGTAAATGCTACAGGTACAGGTCAAGCACTGCTTTATCAATCTTGTGTTTACTCCAGCAGCTCCTCCGTTGCCCATTGTTTTACCTTGTTTAAATAGATATGCTTCTCTTTATTTGAAAATCAATTGTAATCTTATGAAAGAGAACTTACAACAGAGGGAATGCTGGAAAGCAGCATAGTGAAAGATGTTCATTATCCTGAATTACTCCAGGGTAGGGAGGGAATGACATTAAAGAAGTGTGGGTAGCTTTGTGCTGCCATCCTTCCTTTAGCAGGTGTAATTTACTGTCATTACTTAATTTCATTAAAGGTAAAGACAATTGTGGACAATACACATTACAGCATTTACCTGTAATAATAGTTGTGGAGGAGTGTGAGAAAGAGGAAATTCAGGATCAGCTTTGAATTCCCAGTAGCTGCTTATTGGTAGCTGATGAAAATTGTTTTGTTCTTCATAGCACATCTCTCCAAGATTTCCTTCTAACCCTGAATAGCTATGAATGGCTCCATTAATTCCAGTGAAGATGCTCTGTTCTCATCAGAAAAATACTTTGCTTTGTAAGCATAATAGGCAATGTCCAGTCTAAATGCTGCTTAGGACTGATAATTTCCTAACTATACCTAACAGAGGTCAACAACTGGCTGAACTCCTGGATTGCCCGGTATATACTGAGCATTGTGGTATTTACCCTAATGGAAAACCTCTATAGGCTGTTGTGATCTTCCTCCAGGCTTTATATTGGCACGTGCTTGTGTATTTATGATTTTTAATATACCTCATATTTTAAAATATGTCGTGTAAGCTTCGTAACTATGGGCTGAAAAGAGGTGCTGTGATGGCTCTTAGAGAAGCTGCTGTAAAATCTGTTGGTGATTGTGGGAGACTTTTCCATGTAACCCAAACTCGTTGGCAGCACCTGGGCTATGACCTACTAAAGGTGTTCAGCAGCCTGTAGGACTGACCCTCTTAAAAATCTTAAATACACCCGATGGCTTACTCTTGGTGAGTTAATTCTACAGGGCATAAAACAGATGCTGGGTCAAAGATTTGAGGTGGTTTCACAAATTGTTTAATTCCTTTGGAATTACAGTACGATACTATGTTGTCATCAGTGCAGCCACCTCCTAAAAGAGATCGGGGGCTCATCAGCTTGTCATTGCAGCCATGTCACAACATTAATTTAATGTAATGGGCAGTAACTAGTGTGGATTCAGGGAGATACGATCCTGTTTAACTAATCTCCTTCAGTTCTTCGGAGCGGGTTTCAGACAAGGTTGATAATAGAATGTACATATGACATAATCTAGTGGATGTTTCAAGAGGCTTTTGATAAATTTCCATATATTTCCTGTGCTTAAGCTGTGTGCCGCAGAGACTCCAAACTGGGCAAGAGAATGGGTAAAGAACAAGTGAAATCATGGGAAACAAAGAGAAAAGAAGAGCTGTAGCGGGTACTGGAATTAGAATTATCCTGCAGCTTCCCACTGTTCTTCCCCACCACTCGGCATGGCTGGAAAGAGATGCCATCTGCATTCACTAATGAAAACTTGTTTAGGACAGGTGCATAATAGAAAAGAGGGCAAGATGCCATTCAGGATACCACTAAAGGGCAAATTTAAATTTACATTAGCATAAGGCAGATTGAATATTTTTCCTGTCAGTGGTGAAATAATATATACTAAATATAGGCATCCGTAAATGGAAGATGCCAATGGATGGAGATGGGTTACAGGGGAAACAGACTCTTGTGCTAACAAAGGAATGATTTATTATCATTTACACAACCTGGCATTTGTGCACACCAAAGGCCAGATTTTAGAAGTGCTCTACTCCTGCAGTTTGGGGCCAGGATTTCGGTTACAGACTCCGAGCCAGCCGCTCCCAGCATTTCCCCAGTGTTTAATTTGCCATATGCCAATCAGAGTGTTGATTTGCAAGTGCTGCTAAAAGGCAATGCTGAGAGATGAGGACAGTTGAAAATTTGGGAATGTGTCTTACTGGCAGCTTTTGAGCCCCAAACACTGGAAGTATTCACAGGCCAGGATCCCTGATCAGCCGTGTGATAAATCAGGGACTGGAAAGCAGGAAAGAATGCAGCTAATGTATCAGGATATGCTTGAACAGGACATACTCCATAAAAATCAGTGCTAAATGAGAGAATTAAGCACCAGGAAAGGCTGTGGCAAAATCACAAGAAACACTTCAAATAATGAGACAAAATCAAATCAAAGGCAAGAAAGAAGGAAAATGAAGTAAAATCACTGAAGAAGCAATAAAATGCCATCACTGAAATCTGAGTGAGGCAAAATACCTTGGGATAAAGGGACATAGTCATCCTAAAAAATTTAGACATTTTAGTCTGCCATTTTCCCCTGCTGTTGACAATTAACTCTCTCATTGCTATAACTGAACGAGCATATCAAGAACATTTTTTTGTTTCCTTCCTTGGAGCATTTGCTGAAGCTTGTGCAGTGACTGTGTGATAGCAGGGCTGAGAGGTGAAACTAGACTTTGAAGGGTTCAGGAAAGTATTCACAGTTAAAAAAAAATAGGAAGACCAGAAAAAAAGGGATGTGGGAAAGAGATGTGTTGCTCGTTACCTATAACCCCACAGTCCTCTCCATGGGACAGGTTTTCCAGTCAGCCTGGTGACGTAGGGGAGAAGGGAGGTAGCCACAAGGATGGACAGAAAGCTCCCACTGTGACCACTCCTGTCTTTTATTTGCAGTATTCAGGAGAGGTTCCTGAGAACAGAGTGGAGGTTGTGGTGGCAAATCTGACGGTGATGGACCGGGACCAGCCTCACTCCCCCAACTGGAATGCCATCTACCGCATCATCAGCGGGGACCCCTCCGGCCACTTCACCATCCGGACAGACCCCGTCACCAACGAGGGCATGGTGACCGTGGTGAAGGTAAGGGGGAAGCCAAAGCAAATCCATGTTTATCATCCTTTCAGCTACTTAAGGCTACAGGCATTGCCAGGCACCTGAAGTTATTTCATGCCTTCTCTACCTGGAAAGATAAGTGCTTGGATCTGTTGTTTCTCATCTCTCTGTGCAGGAGTCCTGAATAGTCTCACTTCAAGCATATGGCCCTGGTTCTGGGTTTCCCACCTCAGCCCAGCCCACCATGAGCTTTCAAAAAGCCTCACATGCTGAAGGGTCCTCCCAGCACCCAAGCCTGACTTCCACCTCCTGCTTCTGCTTAGCTCTTTGAGCACTGTGAGAGGGAACAGACCTGGGCTGTGCAGCCTTGCCCTTCTTGAGCCAGAAAAGCCCTGGTTTGCTGTGAATCAAGGGTAATGTTTCACTGCAGGGCTCAGTCGAGTGATCCTCTGTGAAAGCAGGGAGTGCAGGGGAGATACCAGGAGGAGTGAGTTTTCTGGTAACAGAAGGAAAGGAGATTTTCTCTCTGACTGAGTTGCTTGGAAGGAAAAAATTTAGAGAAGTTTCCCTTTTCCTAGTGTTAAGTGATAAACACACAGTGTGGGACAAACCCTCAGCTCAGGATAGCTCCACTCAAGTGAAAGCCACCCCCTAGGTTAGATCAGCAGAGGATCTTGTCTAAAAACTCTGAGAAATAAGGCTGTAAATATCCACCATCCCTTCTTCCCTCCATTTCCTACAAGAGCTGGAAGCCTCAAGGTATCTGCAGCAAGTATCAAATTGTGTTTCCTTCCCTGCCTCCAAAGAACATGACTTTATCTTCACTTGAGCATTCGCTTCTCTTTCGGTTTCTGAGGCCAGGGAGTGTTTCTGCAGTCATTACACACAGCCAGAACATCACTGGATCCCTTCAGCATTCACTGAAGCCCTTCCCAGATAAGATGCCTGTGGATGCTCCCTCTAACTACAGAAAAAAGCAAAGACATCACACATAGGCTGTTGTGATATGTAGGAGCTGCACAACACCGTGCGCTGCACCTGGGAAGGATAATACCCACTGTGATGGATAAAGCCAGCATCTTCTGATAAGTCTGGCCTTCTCTAACAAAAAGTTTTAGTCACAAACTTAGGATGAAGTGCTAATGTTTAAAGAGCAATGTGATTTAAGGATAGCTCTTTGTTGAAAAAAGAGCCCTGCTTCCCTCTTATTAGCAAAACAAGTTGCAGTCATTCCTAATGTGCACAGTTTGGGTATTAGGAAAAATGACATCAGTGAAATGCCAGTGAGGTTACACTGGTAGGAATGTGTGAGCTTGTGAGCCTGTCCTGTTGTCTGACCCTTAGGCTATGTGTGTGTGTGTCTGCAGATGTTGCTTTGCTGAAACTTCAAGGGGGACATCATCTTACCTGCCAGATGGTATTTCGGCAGGGTCCTTTTATTTATCACTCTTTATTGCTCTGTAATGATGGTTGACAGCCTTAGCTGGTACAACATTACGAAACCTCTTCAAGCTTAGCAGTAGCTCTAGACATGTGTATGTGGGTGCATATATGTGTTTAAGTGTACACATATCCATATCTCTATATGTTCTGCTTAAACAGAAAATACTCAACAAAGTAAAATGCTAGAATTTAGCTTCCATTGACATCAGCAGCCAGTCTGAAATCAAAATGCCAATGTTTTCATTGCAAACAGAGGAGGACCCTTTATTTTTAATATAGCAAAGTGTCAGGACTTTAGTTTAAAGGCACCTCAAAGTGAACAACAGGGGATTTGCATGATCATCACTGCTGCACAAGGACTTGTGCATAATGAACCATCCCTTATTCAAGACTTACAGGCAAAACACTGGGCAGATTTGTCAAGACACCACTGATGCTGGTGTTGACTTTTCCACTGCTGTGTAACCCACAGTGATCACAATGCAGAGAACCACATGAAAATCCCATCTTGTCAAGTTGAGCTCAGAGCTTGAAATTGCACTGGATGTCTTCACTATCTCACCTCACCTGATCCTCCTGGGCGCCCAGTTTCCTACCCCTGTCAAGCCAGGAGGCTTTTTGGTGTATTTTCAGCAAGGAGAATGAGCGAAATTGCTTGTGATTAAATTTTCATGGTGAAGAAGGGAAGACTCTTAGGATTCCACCCTCTTCTTTGAAATATTTTGTTCTCTATTAATAAGTGAATATGCTTAAAGATCTGGGTGATGTACGCACGTCAGCCTGGGTGGCCAGTCAGAGCTTGTTCTTCACAGTGTAGGAGCAGTGTCTTGCTGGTTTGATTACTGATGTAGGTTGAAAACACAGGTAAAAAATTAAGTCAAGTGATGAACCATTTATTTACAGACCCTACATGGCTGGATTTTAACGTGGCTCTTTAAAGCTGCTTACATGTAACTACTCACTGCTGCAAGCAAAGGGGCTTGTGTCTGGGCCACAGCAGTCACAGCAACAGAGCAGAGAAAGGTGTTCTGTGAAGAATCCCACCACTTCACTAGAATTTGGGGGCCTGAAATGGAGAGCCAGAAATGTTTCCAAACTAAAAAGCCCTTTGGAGTTCAGATGATGCTCATGGGGGCCATATGGCAGCTGCCCTCAGCAAAACCCCATCTGCAGCTCCAATCTGATCGCCAAAAGTGTAACATTTCCCTTTTCTGTTCTCGCCTTTCCAAACCATTTCTATAACTGTGCAAGACCCTAATCTTCAAAGAAAACCTTGATCAAGGGGAGAGAGAAACTTCCCACTCAGATGAGACACCGCAGAGTCTGAAGACAATCTCCCAGAGCAGCAGTGGCTGCCCTGTGGCAGCCAGCTAAGTAAAATGTTATTATAAACTCTGCATGGATCAGAGCTGTGAATTTCTAATGGAGATGCTGCCGAAGCTTCAGTTATTATTTGCCTCAACTACAACATCAGGCAAATTTGTTCACTTCAGTTAAAAGTACCTTGAGAAAAGGAGGACACGTGGCAAGCCCTTGGTATCCCGCTGCTGCATCCAGGTCGGAGATGCTCGTGAAGGAGGAGGATGTGCAGCATCTCCAGGGGGATATTTCACAGCCGCTTGTGCCATAACAAACATCCAACAAGGGGTATCTGCAAAAGTGCTGCTTTTTAATTTCATGTCAAGTGCTTCTTGGACATGAAAGTAAAAAGCAGACAATGGTCCAACACTGTCCCAAGTGTCCAGGTCCTTGTCCCAAATGCAGCGGCCCTGTGGGCTTTTTCAGGATCCTGTTGTCATAGAATCAGAGAATCATTTTAGTTGGAAAATACTTTTAAGATCATCAAGTCCAACTGTTAACCTAGCAATGCCAAGTGCACCATGTCCCTAAAGCCACGTTGAGTGACCAATATGCAGCTTTTATCAGTGAGATGCAGGGAGGCAGAAGGGATTAAAGCCCTGTGAAGAACACAGGGTGCCCTGTGTCCTATTATCCTCAGAGGGAGGCAGTTTTAGGGAGCAGAAATAAGAACTGTTCTGGTAGAAATTGTTTATTATGGTGTGAAAGAACTTCTGCCTTAGGGCTGGACTATGTCTGCCTCAAGGGGCTGCTGTCCCACAGGGGTCAATAGCACAAATGCTGCCAGGACAGCACAGGACCTTGATTTTACTTTTTTTTTTCCAACAAAACTGTGGGAAATAGGACTCAGATGGGCACAGAAGAGATGGAGTCAGACCAGCTCTGTCTTGCAGACTGAAGTGTGGTGGACACTGTGCCACCATGTGCCAGCACGTGACACTTATGGCTCCTGGATGGGATGGGTGATCCCAGTGCAACTCTGCTCCCTGCATGGCTTTTCTGCAGCCCTGGGTTTGTTGCTCCCAGAAGAGAGAGGAAGAATCTGAGTAAACAGCTCTACATTTTGGGGAGGAAAAAACCACTATGTTGTATCAGGCCACATCCTAGCAGAGGTGTGTGTGGTCGGTGTTGTTCTGAGCATCAGCAGCTTGGAGTTTCCCACATCATTCCCCATGGAGCTGCTGATCTCAGCCCCCATGCTCCCTCTGAGCCCTTGTGGGGAGGGAGGTGCAGACTGGCTGTGGGCAGGTTAGCAAACAGGCCAGTATAAAAAAAAAAAGAGATAATTAATATTGTAGGAATATATATTTGAGGGTTGTGAAAAGAAATTGAGGAAACACATTAGTCAAATTGTTTCAAGGCCTTGAACGGTGTTTAACTGGGAACTTTTACAATGCATCATTTTTGAATGCGGTACAAGTCTGTGAGTCAGCAAGGGTGGGTGTACTGGGAATCTTTATGCTTCCTTTTATTTATTAAATGTTGGCCCTGCCTGTCAGGAAATCATTTAGCAATGGGAACATTTGCACTTCAATCGAATAGAGATTCCGCTGTTTTACCTCTTGCCCCTGAAATTTGTTTCTCTCGTGTAGCCTCCTGTGATTTGATTTCTCTCCTGACAATACTGGGTATTAAACAGGACATGGCAGCCAGATCTTGCTGATGTAAATGAGCCCAGCCCTGCCGAAGTCAGTGGTGTTTTACACCCTGAGTGTTTGCTTTGCAGACTCAGCGCTGGAGAAGGTATTAGGGAGAGTGGTTATGCTTCTAAATTTATAAATCACGGCAAAGCGTTTTTTAACAAGCAGAGGTGTGATCCTGCATAACTCAAGCCTCCCTGGCAGATGATTAGCAACTTCCCTCGTAATAATTAGTGGGATGGTTTAGAAATTATTAGTATTATACTGGGTTCAGTCAGTCGTGCCAGCAAAGGCTTTTCACTCGTCTGGCTCCCGAGACACATCCTCTTCATGTGCCTGCTGAGGAGAGATCTGTGACCTCCCAGCAGCAATACCCAGCTGTAGGAGTGTGCAGGAAACCTCGGGGGATAAGGAGGTGCCTTGCAGGAGGACCAGAGATCCCACTGGAAGGACCACCTGCTTAACCAGGCCAGGCGTTGTTCCTGGCAGCTCTACCGTTGCTTGTAAACTCATTTAAGAGAGAAAATAAAGAGCCCTTCAGGCTCATGGGTCCACATAGACCGTCCTAGTTACAAAGTCAGCAGTTTTCAGTGCTAATAGCACTGCTAAGTACCCGTCCCATCCCTCTTAACAGGCTCCACCTGTTGCATTAGAGCAGCCCTGGCTGGTTTTGTTCATTTGATGCTCCACTCTCACAGGAAGGTTCTCTTTTGGAAATCACTTTGCATTGGAACGAAAAACAGGGCAAATCCTCCCTGCTGTTTGAAATTTTTCCTTTGTGGATTTTGTTTTAATATTTGACCCTTCAAACACTGGAAGGCCAAATCCTGCACTGGGTTGAAGCTGGTCTGGATTTGCACCTTCGAAAGAACTGAGCTCAGGAGGAGACAAGATGAGGGAACAACTTTGATATCTGCCTTCTAATGTTGCAGCTTTCAGCCAGAAGGTAGAATTCATTCTCTGCTTGGCTCTATACTTGCTTGTTTGTTTGTTTTAGGCAGTCGATTACGAGATGAACAGAGCTTTCATGCTGACAGTGATGGTATCAAACCAAGCTCCCCTGGCCAGTGGCATCCAGATGTCCTTCCAGTCGACAGCAGGAGTCACCATTTCAGTCACAGATGTCAACGAAGCACCGTATTTCCCAACGAACCACAAGTTAATCAGGCTGGAGGAAGGGGTGCCAACAGGAACAGTCCTGACAACGTTTTCAGCGGTGGATCCCGATCGCTTCATGCAGCAGGCAGTAAGGTGGGACACCAGGCAGCCCAGGGCACTCCTGTACAGGTGGGGGGTTCAGCTGCAGAAGTCTGGGGAGCCAAGCAGCTGAAAGCTAATTTCCAAACTAACTGGTGTGATATGAATGAAATGCCTGGCAGGGACTGGCACCTGCAGTCGGGTGCTTGCAGAGTATCCTGCAAGCCTGTAAACTCACAATCCTTCCCGCTCCAGATAAGCCAGACTCTGAGCAGCTGGGTCTGGGAGGGCAGACAGAGTTGGATCCCATGTTGCTGGCTTGCCATAGGGCAGATCACACCTTCAAATGAAACAGTTGATAACAAGAGGTTCCTGACTTGTTACAGAGGTCAGGACTGCACTTTACCCTTTATCTCTGCCTTGCCCGGGATGCTCTGACCTGTGTTGTTTGTGCACTTTATAGACACAGAGGTTTAGAAAAAGGCAGCTTTGTTATTTCTGTTTTTCAGGTGGGGAAACTGAGGCACAGAAAGGGCTAGGCCTGGATTTTCGAAGGGAATGGCTGGGATTTTTAATCATGCGTTGTGTTGCTTTCAGAGGATTTAGGTTCAGCCTGGCTTAAAAGTGCAGCGGGAGAAGAGCTGTCAGCCCAGTTCAGTGCAAGGCTGGCGAGGTTACAAACAGCTGCTGGGCAGGCTTTTAAGGTGTCATATAGTTGAGTATTGCCTGAGCAGTCAAACACCCATTCACAAGCCATTGGCACTTGGTCTGTGTCTCACTAAAGCTCCGCAGCAGCCCTTCCCTGCTCTCAGTAAGTGCAATTTGTTGTGACCTTCCATTTCTCTTCAGACAAGCTGCCAAACACAACCTCCTCCTTAGCTGCTTTCCCTATGAAAGGGATTTAGCTGGCGAAATTTTAGCTTCGTAAAAGTCAGATCTAAGCATTTGAAGAGCACTTTTAGTCTGTGCTGTGACCAGGAGGATGTCACTCACTCTGTTTTGCCCCACCTGGGCAGACGGGGGACTGAATCCCCAGTCCACGAGTGAGACTGCCACGCCTTCCCACCGGGAAATAATTGGCAGAAAAGTGTGTGTGAAAATGAGAGTCCTTGTGACACTTCCACAATTATTTCAGGTCTGTCTGTGCAGACGGGAAATGGCATTTCCTGCTTTTGGATACTTCTACATCCATAGAAATTTGTTTCTTTTTTACTCCCAGCCTGTAAGGACTGCAGTATTTTTAGCAAAACCTGAGTAGACGATGTGACCACAGCTGAGGCCACTTAAACCTACATCAGTTGTGACATTTTGTGTCAGGAACAGTTTGAAATATTTCACCTGGCACAGAGCTGTCTGGTCTAGGAAATGATAGTTTATTCACTGCCTCATCTTGTTGTCTTTAGACAAGTATTGTGACTTTGGAGGAGAGAGACCATCCTAACTAACAAGCCCATTTTTCTTAGGTTCTTTTTGAAATATTGGCCTTTGAAGGGTCTTTATTTCCCTGATGCCTGTACCAAGGCTGGTTTTCAGAGGAGAGAGCAGCTCATTTCTGATTGAGTGCTCCCTCTAAGGTGGAGGTGGGTGATCTGTAATCCAAACGAGCACCTGCCGTTCCTGTCATCGCATGTGTGGGGTCTTGTAAGACTTTCTGGGAATAAGAACAGCCAGTCACTTGAATTGTTTCTTTCCTAGGGCTTCCAGGACACACATTTTGTGTATTCACCAGCACTTAATTTCCGAACCCAATACAATCTCTCTCCTGTTGCATCAGGACAGCCAATGCCCAGGCTTTGCAAGAAGCAGTGGGGCATTTTTGGGGTCCTGTCTTTGTGAGCTATGCAAAGGATATTTTATTTTTTACTTCACAGTTGGCATTGGTGAGTTAGGAAAAAATATACCCAAAAAACTAAGCCTATGCAGATCCATGATAAGCACTCCGCAGAGCTGATCCAGCTGCTAGAGCCTTGCATACAGTTTTCAGTCTCTCTCTAAATAGTCTTTGATGAAATAGAGTTTTTACAAATAGAAGATAAGGAAGCAGGAGCATCTCCAGTGAGGCACAGCTTGGCATGGCCACTGTCACACCTCAAGTTATCCTCATTAGCCACAGATACATTCACAAAGTCAGCTTTGAAACTGGATCCCTGGTCATTTAGCAGGGAAAGGACAGGAGCCTTACAGCAGTGGTATTAAAATGAAATGAAAACATCCCAAAGAGTCTAGCTCCATAAAATGTAATTCTTTCCTTTGGCAGGGGCTTGTGCAGCTGGGTGTTGCTTTCCTGCTCACATGGATTGATGCAGCTCAAGTTTCCCTATGAATTTCTGCTTCAAACAGCCCATTTCTGGAAAGGGATATTCACCAGAAGCTGCTAGTGCTCTCACCTGCGTATCTAACTACAAAAAAATTATATAAAACTATCAGCAGGTCTGAGTTAGCCATGAAATAAGCTCAGCTTTTGTTTGCTTATTTCAGTCATTTATAGTTCAGCCATTTATTAGCTTCCAGTTGGATAGTAATGGTCCATCTCAGTTCAAACTGTACAAAACTGAGAGGCAGAAATCAAGAGCAATGAATAAAGCAAGAAAACAAGCTAGAAAGATGAACAGAACACATTGATCTGGAGAACACAGAAAAAGTTTGCCCAGAACAAACCATGGTCAAAGCTGGCTCCATAGGGCATGAACAGATATGGGCTGTGAGTTGACTGAGTAGTTGGGAGGCAACTAGTCCCTCCAGCCCTGGGGATAACTGAGGACTGCCAACGGAATTCCTTGTTGCTGCTCTCTTCAAACCTCCCACGTGCATGGGATCATCTTCCCTGCTATTTCAGGAACATTTAAAAATGTTGCAGGAGAGCAGGCCTGAAGCTGCTTCACCCTTGAGTCCACACCTCAGTGCAGCTGTGAGGTCTGATTAGTGTCCCTAAGGCAATTGCTGATGAGGATGCAATTCTGCTACAAAAGAGTGGCCTGAAAGCTGGCATTCTTCCAGTGTGGTATTCCCAAACTGTTGTTCATAGGCAGAAAACAGGAACATCCTTGACTTCAAAGCAATACCTATTTTAGGAAGGGCAAGATCAGGAGAAGGAGAGGACAGGAATCCATCCTCTAATTGAGGCATACAAATGCAATGGTCATTGCAGACCCCATTTCTCCTTGGCTGCAGAGACCTCGGGCTATGGCCACTCCTGGCAGCAGAAGCTGGCATGTAAGTGGCACACAGTGGAAAGGAAAACCTTTAAAACGAAAGAAATTGAATAATTGCAAAGGTCAAAAACCATATACTCAATTAAGTATTGTGTTTGTCAACAAAACCAGTTATCCAAAGGTCCTTTGAATCGCAGGTCAGGAGTCCAGAAAAACCGTTATCTCGAGCAATATTAAGGGTATGTCAGTGAAAAGACTGCCATGTATTTATTTCCTTTCTCTGTAGATACTCTAAGCTGTCAGATCCTGCAAACTGGCTGAACATTAATGCCACAAATGGTCAGATCACTACTGCTGCTGTCCTTGATCGAGAGTCAGACTACATTAAGAATAATGTCTACGAGGCCACATTCTTGGCGGCTGACAACGGTGAGCCCAGGCTTCACATTGTTCATGCTTCAATAAGACTCTAATGTGATGCATTAAGAGAAATGATGCCCTGACAGAGTTGTCAGTATAAGTTATCTTTTTCCCAGGTTTTTATGGTCAAAAATGTGAAAGTGGGACGGGAAATTGCTGGAGTAAATTAAATGTGCACAGTATACGGAGAGTGTTATTAAGGGAAAGGGAGGACAAATGGAAAATCGATTTGGGGAGTTCAGTGTAGCGGTGTAGCCTGAACTTAAAAAAAAATATCAAAGGGATGTGCACTGCCAGGGCTGCCGAGCACGCCAGTCCTGGTAATCGTCCCAGAGGCACTGATCAGAGCGTTCAGGAAGCCCTCCATCAGGAAACCAGAAATAATTGTAGGGGGATGGCAGGAGGGTATTAAAAATAAGCCCACCTGTTGAACTGTCTGTCTGTCTGTCTGTCTGTCATTGGAGCTGATCACTTTCTTACCACTACCATTCCTGAAATGTGCAACCACCATCAGAGCATCTGGGTGCTGGTGTGCTTTATCACCAGAGCCACTGAGGCCAGTCAGTGTCTTTTCTCTTGGAGAAGTCCTGTTAAAGCTTGCTCTTCTCTACTCATTAAAGGTCACTCAGTGCTTTTTAGTCAAATTAGCACTAAGGACCTCAGCACTGGTCTCACTCAAGGCAAGCAGCCCATTGCTGCTGCCCTGTATTTCTCTTCCTAATTCTGTTTAGAAGCTGTTGAATTCTGCTAACCATACCTAAGTGTGGTCATGCTGGTATTTCATTCATCAGTTCCTCCAGCTGGAAAAGGCTCTGTCAAGGGCTCAGGAGTTTCCCAGGGCAAGGAGAGGGCCTTCCCTCCCCTCTCCCGCCCTCACCTTCCTGCTGCAGGGTGCTGAGCACTCACTCAAACCAGAGCCATCCTTCAGCAGCACAGTTAAGTCTGGCTTTGGCTGTGAGCACCTTTGTATACTGCTCAAACTCTGTAGGTGCTTTCAGGGCAGTGTTTGTGTTAGATCTTGTCGTCCCTCAGGCTGGAGGTGCCATGGCTACTATGAGCTGATATGGTGGTGCTTGCAGGGCTAATGAAAACTTCCTCCCTCTGGGATTCCACGCATCACTTCAGTCATTGCATCCCAGGTCACAGGGGCAAGGGAAACTCCTGGAAGAGTTTCAGGGCTGAGGAGCTGTACCAAGAAGTGCATTTTACCCCTTCTGTGTGCCATGAATGGTAGGACTGGTCCCATTGCCCCATCTTAAGCTTCACCTCCATGAAGGCAGCCAGGGCAGCGAAATCTAAAATATTCTCAAGCTGGTCTAGTGGTGATCACCTGCAAGAGCCACGGGGTAAAACAGGTCAAATGAGTTGGTCAAGGCTGTTCACAAAAGCAATGATAGAGCTTGAACCCATCAACCAAATCCTCACCATCTGACCTTGCAAATCCTGGGCACTTAGTACCATGTGATGTGGAGTTAACCCCTTTCCTTGGCTTCAGTGCTGATGCTGCAGTGCATCAGCACCTCCACATCCATCCATCATTCAGCAGCTCAGAAAGCGAGGACCTAGATAAATCTCTTTAGTCTGAAAAATTAATCTACCACTGGTATATTGCAGCCATTAAAATGCACATAAAGCAACACCTTATTTAAAATTCTGTCTAGAGTGCTCAGATAACAGCTAAAGCTTCATCTAGGCTAATAGACTCTTTCCACATTTCTCCCAAGTTCCAGGTTCTCCAGCATCACGTACTCATCAAAGAAAGGGTTTGAGTCAAGGGTTTTGGTGGGGATTTTTCTTTCTTTCTTGAGGAAGCAGCAGTGCCTTCTTTCCTTGAAGTTCTTTTTGCTTCTCAGTACATGGAAAAGAAGAAGTTTAGCCAAATACTCCTTGGACATGTTCTCCTTCTCTCCCTGGGTTACAGTGCAAAGATACTCACTTTAGAAAAAGTCTTGGCTGCAATGCAAGGGGGTAAAAGGGGAATCCTAATTGGTAGCACAGTTTTAACCTGCTTTCCCAGGAGAGAGAGTCTCTTGGATCACACTGTGTCTCCACAGGTGTGGAGCCTGGCAGTGTTTGAACCCTTCAGCCAATCTCACAGTGAAGCTCACAGAACTTAAATATATCATATTCCAACAGATTTCATGAAATAAGAAGCTGAATAGGGGAGAGAGAGTCTGTCTGAAGGAAGGAGGTTCCTGCCCCTTCCTCAATATCAGAGGACCTTATGGGAATTCACCCATGGGGCCCAGTACTGTAGGAAAACAGACTGAGAGCATATTCCTGCTTTTCTGCACTCAATGACAGGAAGATGCTGGTCAGCCACAGGCAAGCTTACTTCATTTCTGCCATGATTTGTCAGGACAGTGGCCCAAGTTCCTTAGAAATTTTTGCACAAGGAGGATGGGAGCAACTCCTGCTTGCAGCTGAAGGTGAAAACCTTGGCTTATACCTTTCTGTGGGAATGTGGACTCTGGCACTGTGAAAAAGGCAGTGAAGGAGAATGCAAAAGTTAAATGTATATGTAGAGGTTGTTTATTCCTCTTTCTTTTGTCATTAGTATTTCAGTCTTAATTTCAGGGAGCAGACCAGCTTCTCCTCTGGAGTGAGGGGTGTGATGGTAGTCCTCTTCTCGAGCATAAAATCAAAGGATCCTTCATTTTATATCAGTACCTGCTCTATCTATGTCCCTGCTCTCTCCACATAAGACAGCTGAAATAATGTGAAATGTTCCATGGTTCCACTTGGCCATTTAAAAAATTGTTTGCTTTTCATTTTTCCTGAAACTGCCCCAGAACTGCACTCAGGAGCACAAAGAAACAAAAGTACCAGGACACAGAGCCCAACAATACTCAATAGCCCAACAAAACTGCATTTGTATGTGCAGCAATTGCAGGTTATTTCAGCCACGTGCCAGTTAGTGCCTCTCAGGACTGAGGGTTTGTGTTCAGTTTGTCTCAGAGGTTACAGTGGGAGCCTTGCTTTTATCCCAGAAGATATTCTGGGTAATGTGAAAGCACTAAAATCACTTTGCTTCATCCTGAAAGTCAGTTTTCATGTTCAGCCCCAGTGTCCTGATGGTCTGTCTGTCCCTCCATAACCTTTCAAGGCTGATCAAAAGACATTGTTTTGGAGGGTAAGCACCTACCCCCGTGCTTACTAGATGAAAGGATGAGATCAGTGATTGAAAAACTTATGTGGGAACCATGAAAGAAGCATTTCCAAGGCTCCTTCAGAATTTTCAAGGCTCCCTTGGGAAATGGAGAAAGAAATGTAGGAAGGAAAGTCTGTGGAAGCAGAATTCTGGTGGGGAAGTGGTTTGTGTAGCTTTGTATCTAGCACTGGGAGGAAAAGCCAGGACTGAAAATACATACTTAAAAAATAATTGCTGAAGCAACGCTGCCTGAGAAGGGAGGCAGGCAGTGAGCAGGCCAACACAGAGCTGCCAGAGAAATGTGTGGGGAGAGAAGTGAGAAATACTGAGCCATTTCTGGGAAGGCTGTTCTGTCCTGCCAGGACAGGTATTACTTTGTTTAAGTGGTCGTTAGTCAGACAAATTTGGCTCTCCATCAAGAAGGGGCTGGAGGACCAGGACTGCTGTGCTGCAGAATCCCTGCTGGTTGGGACAGATGTAGAGAGGATGGAGAACTGTATATTGGGACATCAGCTGCTGTGGGGGTCAGTGGCATCACCCAACGTGTTCGCTGGTGGTTGAGTCTTACTGTAGGCTGCCAACAAGGACCTTTCACCACTAAAGCTGGAGCTGGATGTGGGACATGCTGGACTGTCGGGCTTTCTTTCAAGCAGTGTAATGGTCTGCAAATCTGTAACTGGCCAGCAGCTGCTACAGTAAATGCTGACCAAAAGTTTATACTACTTGAGGTTTTTTTCCCCTCCAAGCCCTCTTCTTCCTCTTGTCAGCTATCTTTCTAATGTTTTTTCTTCTTCAAAACAGCCATTACCAAGATTTGCAGGAGCAGCTTGGCATCACCTGCTTGTAATTTTAGTTTGACTAAGGACACTGCTGTAGGCTCCAGATCTGCAGGACTCAACCTCCACTTTCTGCAGGAATGAAAAACAACATTAGGAGGCTTGGGGAAGTTTTAATAATACTTCATAAAGCAAGGGACCATGAAAGTGCAGTATGTCCCTAATAAGGTCCAAGGAGGGAAGGTGAATAGCCTGGTTTATTGAAATGGGAAGGCAGAGAGGGGGCTGGTCCGTGGTGTTGTTGATCCCGCTGCTTCCCGAGTGATGGCCACGGGTCCGTGTTTGGCTCTGCCTCCCCCGTGCAGGTATCCCCCCCGCCAGCGGCACTGGCACTCTGCAGATCTACCTAATTGACATCAACGACAACGCTCCCGAGCTCCTGCCAAAGGAGGCACAGATCTGTGAAAAGCCAAACCTGAATGTCATCAACATCACAGCCGCGGATGCTGACATCGATCCAAACGTCGGGCCCTTCGTCTTCGAGCTGCCAAGTGTGCCATCTGCGGTGAGGAAGAACTGGACCATAACACGGCTGAATGGTAAATGGGGCAGGCAATCCTGAGGACATTTGGGCTCTCGTTCACTAATGAGGCCACGTGCGGTTTCCAACTTCCAAACTTTGCTAGTTTTTTTTAATCCGATTTTTGTTTTTTAAAGCGCATTATGGCTGACATTATAGACAAGATAGTTAATCAGGAATGATTTGTATCAGACCTGCAGCATAACTCTAAGAGCCTTGGCACTTGGCTTTTTTTAATGCAGTTCATAATTATGAACAGTTATCAGTGGTGAACAGAGTATAAATCATCCATAATGGCCAAGGGGAAAAAAGCTATTATCAGTCTTCCTTATGTTCCTCCAGTGTAATTGTCATAAACCACAATCAGGATCAATGTTCATTTCTCTGACCATAATTGCATAAAGGCAGCCTTTTAATTTACCATGGAACCAGGAGGGCTAGGTAAGTGTGAAGATTACCAGTATGTGAAGGATTTTTATATTGCAGCGTGCAACCACAAATGGCCCTAATTGCTCTGCTTATTGGTAGTTTCAGCAGAGGATGGAAAATATCATGGAGTTATGGGCTGGTTTTGGCTTCATAGCTGGTTGCTCTTGCTGAGGTCTGGCAAAGAGTGCCAGACCAGGGGCAACAGCTTGTGCCCTCACAGTTCAGGTCTCAATCCCTGTATCACAGTGGGATTACCTGGCTGAGCATGTCATCAATGGGCAATGGACTTCCCAAAAATCCCGAGGTGGGAGGGTGGGTGAAAACAGAACCTGCACAGTGGCCAGGGGCAGCCCAGCCTCAGGGAGCATTATCCATATGTTACTATTTGCATTTGATGCCATTTTGAACACAGGCAACTGGATTTGCAAATGGCACCGAGGTAGGTTAGTGCAGCAGTGAAAACACATGGTAGTTTGCAGAGCACAGGCTGGTTGTTGGCCAGACTGTTAGGGCAGAAGTCTGAAGCTGTCCTGCCTGGGTGTGTTGCTGAGAGCCTCTTCTTCAGGACTCTACTCTAGCAGAGGAGCCTGCACAAGTGTGGCTGCAAGGCTCTACCAGTGTCTGTCATCTGTCTGTCCCTCTTGGTCTCTCCAGGTGATTACGCCCAGCTCAGTTTACGGATCATGTACCTGGAGGCGGGTGTGTATGATGTGCCCATCATCGTGACGGACTCAGGAAACCCCCCCTTGTACAACACCTCTGTCATCAAGGTGAAGGTGTGTCCCTGCGACGAGAACGGCGACTGCACCACCATCGGGGCCGTGGCCGCTGCAGGGCTGGGCACGGGGGCCATCATTGCCATCCTGATCTGCATCATCATCTTACTGAGTAAGTGCCACAGGGGCTGGCATGGAATCACAGAATGGTTTGGGTTGGAAGGGACCTTAAAGATCGTCTTGTTCCAACTCCTGCCGTGAACAGGGGCACCTTCCACTAGACCAGGTTGCTCCAAGCCTCATCCAACCTGGCCTTAAACATTTCCAGGGATGGTGCAGCCACAGATTCTCTGGGCAACCTGTGCTACTGCCTCACACACTCACAGTAAAGAATTTCTTCCTAATACCTACTCTAAATCTACCCTCCTTCTTGTTTCCGAGCCTGTTGCCTGTTGTCCTGTTCCTATGGGCTGGTATTTTTGAAGCTCTGTGCAGAGGACAGATCCCTGGGCTTTGGGCTGTGGGATTGGTTCACACATCTGCATTCGAACCTCCTTCACTGCAACATCAGCAAAATGAGCTCTGCCTGCATCAGACTTGTCTTTCTAAGACTTAGAGTAGCTTTAAAAACTCATTATACCTGACAGCAACTTGTAGGTAGTGAGTGTGATAGGATTCTCCACATTTTACAGGAAAAGGTGATGCACTCTTTTAAAATCCTGTTGCAGACACCCCCATAGCTCTCAGGTCCCTGGCTGGCTATGGATATACTGGTTCTCACTGGTTATGAGAGTCTGGCTAGTCCCTTGCAGAGGGACTGTGGTTTTCTGGTTGTTCCAAGGAAAAGAACAACGATAGGTATACCCATTGCCTGTAAAATGACTTCAGGTTGCTTAATCATGGAGGATTGTGAGTGTTTTTAGAGGAAGAATCCCCAGTTTGTCAGGAGCAATGGAAGGCTGGGTGTGGATCACAGAGAAGGGGTGGCCATCCCTTTGCCTGAGGCAAAACTATCCCTTTTACCCAGCAATGCTGTCTGTCCTGAGCATTACCAATAGCCATGTGTGCACACACTTAAAAATAAAAATGATATCATTATAACTTCAAGCAGCAGTTGGCACAGTAGGAATAGATAAAAACAAGAGCTGAAATGTACAATGAGGTAAATATTCATCAAGAAACACAGGATGAATCCATGAGACTCTCATTAAAGCTAATAGGAGTTATGGTACTAAATCACATTTAATATTTCCCCCCAATGTGTTTAAACAGAGAGCAGACAGAGCGACGTATGCTACAAATGTCACCTAACGGGGACATGGTGTGGTACATTAGGAGAATGGGTCATCCCTGGGCAAACATCCACCCTCTTGGGCTGGTGAGGGGAATGTATTGGTTTGTAATTGATCTACTGGATCAGGCTGGAGAGTGAGCAAGAAACAGGGGGTTTGTGCAGACCCCACTCCTCACCCAGCCCAGCCAAGCCCAAGGAAGCATCCCTGTGCCCAGCCATGATGGGCAATTCCTGTCCTTCGTTGGGTGTGGGGTCCCAGTTGAAAAATGCTTTGGCTGCTCCCTTCAGCAAAGGGGGTTTTGTGCTGAATTCACACCCAGATGAAGACACAGTGTTCATCAGCCCCACCACCTTCAGTACACTGGGAAGTGTGCTTAAGTTTGCACTGGAGCCGCAGAAGTGATTAAACACAGGTCTTCTTTTTGCTGCTCTTGTATAAATCCAGTGCTAAAATACGATTTAAAACAGTTGAAAATCCTATTGACTGAAATTAACTTCAGCTGAAGGACATTTGATTTAAGAGATTCCTCTTTCCATTTTCAGATACATTATCCCATTTTAAATTACGGTTTTTATTACAAAAGCTTATTTTTACATTCATTGTAATTCTAATTGACTTTTTTTTATCTTCAAGAGCTGCAAAGCACTGTATCAGTGATGAAAAATGTAATTTGCAATGAGCAGTTTTACTGTTACATCCTCCCAGTGTTTTGCCTCCTTTCTATCTGTGTCGTATCATGACCTCTAAACAATAGCCTAGAAAAAGGCAGATGCGGGATTTTTTTGTGCTATTTGTCCATTTTAGAGTCAGCAGGTCAAAGTTTGATGACTTTAAAAGGAAGAAGCAGCAAGGGGACAGATCCAAGATTGCTCCTGTGAAGGAAGCTTCTGCCTTTACCTTTGCTCAAAGAGGTTTTTTTTCTTCTTCTTGCTACCTGATGTATTAGCTGCACAAATAACACATTTAGAAGAGCAATGCAGTAAAAAATTGTGAAAGGTGAAGACAATAGATTTCAAGGAAAACTACATGCAGAGTGAAAATGGGTCTAACAGCAGTAATAGCACTTCCCATTCTGCAGAGTGAATAAAAGGAAGGAGAGTGCACTACATCCACCATTGACACTCTGAAGGTCTTTTTTTTTTCCAAGGTAGCTGTAAAGGCATTAATGGCACAGTTTTTTCCACAAGTGCATGAAAAAAGTATCATTTAAAAAAAAAAGAAGGAAATAAAAAGATAAACCTCAGTAGCCATTATAATATTGTCTTTGTGGACCAGTCAGGTATCTTGTTGTGAGAGACTTGAAAAGGAACAACGAGAAAGGGACTTCAATAGTCTGCTAAATAACTGAGGTTTTATATTGCAGATAAGAGTTACATTTTCTTTCCTTTTCTTTTTTTCTGTCTTGAATAGATGTGGGATAAGCCTTAAAGAAATGCTGAACTATCTGGAAACAATTCTGTTGGCTGGCAGGCAGGGATGGCCGCCAGTTGGCACACAATGGCAGTAATGAGCTGCCCGGTCCTTTTCCTCTCACTTCACTGAATTCCTGTTGGGCATAAACACTTTGGTGCTGGGAGGAAGAACTCCTAACCACCTCCTCCCGTGGAGGGGCTGCAGGCTGGGCTGCCCAACCCTATTCCTGGGGTCTGCTCTCAGCTGAAAACCACCAAGTTTGGGATCTCACATCCTGCCTGGGTTTGCTTGTGTTGGCTGCAGTGGTTTGGCACAGTTGAGGATTGACTCGGGTGAAATGAGCCTGGGCCAGACGTTCCCACTTCCACTGTCCGCCCATTGCTCCCTTCATCTGCAGATTGCCACTTTTGCAGCTGCCTGTGGGGCTTGCATGGAGAATGGAGGGGAAAGCAGACAGTGGGAGGTGTAACTGCATCAGCTGCCCAGGCTTAACTTCATTTTTAATTACATTATTTGCAGCTACTGAGTACGAGAATGAAAACGAACATATTAACAGGTTCTTGAAGAAGACAAGGTCTGGCTGCCTTATGTTAATGGAGACTTCAGTTCCCATATTGACTTCCATGCAGTAATTCCCAGGGAGCACACAGCCCCTGGGATGCATGTGGCCCTTTGGAGGGTGAGATTGTGGAGCAGTGAGCCAGTGTTCCCTGTGGGTAAAGCTGTTCAAGAAGGGAAAAATTTCTCATGATTCAAGAACTGTTCATCTGTCCCTGTTACTGTACTGAGAGAGATTAGCCAAGCCTGGCATGCAGATGCTGATGCCTGAGGAGCTTGGCTGTGTACTACCAGATTTGCTCTCCCTTGTTCTGCAAAGCTATCCCTGCTTTCTGAAAGGATTTCAGATGATCTCAGATCTGCTTTGCAAGTGGATGACCAAATGCATGTGCTAATGTCCTGGCTTGGAAGTCTAAAGAGCTTCCCTCATGGACCAAAGAAGAACATGAGGGAGTCCAAATTGGATTACAGGACCTAGTGTTGTGCAGCCTCCCCAGACCAGTCTTGCCTGGCCAACTGCAGACAACAGCAAAGTGACTGTCACACTCAGGGCTCGTGACCTGAATGGGCTGAACCTGTGTCACACTGCTGGAACAGCCCCTTGTGCACAGGTGTTGAGTGCCTGTACCCATTTCCTTCTCTGCAGCTCTCTTCCCTCTGTCTTTATTTTATACCCCTGAATAAAATAAAGGTAGAAATCTAATCCTAAAAATTCAGGATTTTTTTTCAGAAAACCGCAGTTTTCACACTTCCTGTTTTCTTTTCCTTTGATTGTGTGTTTTACTCCTGATAAACATCATCTCAATCAGCGTTGGTGACAGGATCTTCAAGAAATGTTTGCAGTGGAGACCTGTCACAGTATTCACGTCTCTCACTGATCTCTTCTTTAAAAATCAGAACATGCAGTATGATAACATTTTATTCCTCCTGCCAGCAGCCAGTGAGGTTCTCCATAGCGGACAAGGGCAGGTGAGGTGTTAGGACACTCCGGCCTGGCCTCGTGCTGTGGGAGGTCCCAGCTCACCCAGCTTCTTCCCCGTTGCAGCCATGGTTCTGCTGTTCGTGGTGTGGATGAAGCGCCGGGAGAAGGAGCGTCACACCAAGCAGCTCCTGATCGACCCTGAGGACGACGTCAGGGACAACATCCTCAAGTACGACGAAGAGGGAGGTGGAGAGGAAGACCAGGTGAGAGGAGTCTGTGGGTTGTGACCAAGGAGGAGCTGTGCAAACTGTACTCTCAAAAAGGCAGAAACCACATTATTTTCACTACAGCACGTGCAAAGGGTTGTGTTCCCCTTGTTCATGACCAGGCAGCTTTACTGGCTTCCCTAGTGTGGTGTGGACATTGGTGAGAGCCAGCAAGTGCAGGAGATTCAGCATGTCACTGGGACACCTTCCTGTGCAAACAGGACCATGCCAGGAGGCTGGTGCCACATTGTGGTGGTGCATCCAGCTCCCCCCACTCTTTCACGACACACATGGATTTTTCTACCCCCTGCACAGCTTCCTGGGGAAAGGACTATAAATCAATCCATTGACACTCATATTCAAACAGTATTTCTGTTACTTCAGACATTGAAATTGTGTATTTTATCATTCCCCATCAGAGACTGTTGTAAAACCAGCCAACAACTGCCACCTTCGCCAGCCCTGTGGCTCCAGGCACTTGGCTTGGCTTGCTTGAGCCCTGAGCTTCTGTGGGTTTTCCCTGCATCTACTTAATCATCTCTAATGTGCCTTTAATTTCTTTTAATTTCTGGACATGGTTCATGAGAAATGTCCAAATGGATCTGGGGGTTTTCTCTGTCACCACGGAGCGCGCAGTGGCGAAGCTCTGCTGGGTGACAGAGCCCTGAACCACAGGCTGCCTGAACACGTCAGCTTTTCTGCAGTGCTGCTTCTCACAGGCACCGAGGCTGATGTTGCACGAAAACTTCTCTGGCCCGCATTCCTGGGGTGTGCTTTTCCACTGCTACTGATCTGTTTCCTCTGCTAAAATAGCAAAGTTTGGTCACTCACGTTTAAGTCACTGGTTTTTTACTCCTGCCTAACGCGAGTAAAGAGCCCGGGACGCTCTCAAACATGATTGTCGTGCAAATTGTGTGACTCTACATCATATAATGGTTTTATTCTTGCTTGTTCAATTGGACTGCATGGTTCAAGGTCAGTGACCGGGGCTGGTGCTCAAGGAGCCCATGAAACCACTGCAGCACATGCTGCTGTGGAGGTCCCAGTGGTATCCGAAGGCAAGCAGGTGAGCCTGGGGAGAGCTGCCATGACAAGCTGAGGCAGGGACTTACCCGAAACTTGGGAAGTTCTTATTCCACAGAAAAATCCTCGCAATTAGCATTTCTTTTTTCTTGTCGCTGTCAAGTTATTTATAAATATTGCTCCTGGAGCTTCAATCATCCCCGTCTGAGCACAGGGATAGTTTTACCACTAGAACAAAGTACTGTTATAAGCATTCCAACTAGCTGAAGTATCTGGTTTCAGGCAACTACACTGTAGGCTTAAATATTTTAGAAAGGATTCGTTAAAAATAACAGCAAAGGAAGAACAGCAAAACACCATTACCTACATGAATACATTTTTAATGAAATATTACCTGGTTCTCATTCCGTGATAGAAACCTATTCTGTTGGGATTTTTCACAAGCAAAAAGAACATAATTACTTTGAAAGGCCTACATGCATAAATGCAATACACATTTTAATGTTTTTGCTTCTGCAAAAATGTAATTGCAATAATATGTCTACCAACACTATGTCTCTACATTATATTATGTATTTCATCAAAAAGTTAAGGATACACCTCTGCACATGCACACAAAAGCCAGGTTTTTATCCTAAGTATTTAGACACTGTGTGAAATATTCAGAAAATATTTAAATACTTGATTTAACTTACATTACAAGATGCACTCTTAGGAGGGCAATTTTATGAGCTACTCCGAGTTCAGGTTCATCTGTAATTTAGATAGAGGAGCTGCATGCCCAGGGATAAGATTTGCCCTCAAACTTCAGCGGAAACAGAATTACACCTCTCAACTTGTTTGCACATTGAGTGAGTAGATGATCTGAATAAAAAGCCCTTGATTTCACACTGTGCCTTCCCATTTGTCACAGGATTATGATTTAAGCCAGCTCCAGCAGCCAGAGACCATGGATCACGTGCTGAACAAGACACCCGGAGTCAGAAGGGTGGATGAAAGACCTATTGGTGCTGAACCACAGTATCCTATCAGACCAGTAATCCCACATCCAGGGGATATTGGTGATTTTATTAATGAGGTATGTTCTGTAGGGTGTCCTGTGTCACGTCTTAAAAGCTTGAGCAGCCAGCTAAAGTCAGGTTTCCCTGACTGAATGGAGCAAGTGATGCTGTTGCTCACACCAGAAGTCTGATGCAAGCCAGGGGAAGTATTGGCACAAGCAAAGGACTTGGCTTAATAAAGGCATTGAACGTGTAAAATCCAAAGTAGAAGGAAAAGGTCCAATGTTTCTGTCTTGTGGATATCACAAACACCATGCTTTTCAGCACCCAGGCAGAATGAGCCATTTCTGGCTCCCAAACTTGTAATTATTTCAGCAGTCTGTGCCTTCCTCGTAAGCTCTGTTTGGTGTAAAGCCTCAAAGAGTTTGCAGCACAGAGAGGCTCATCTCAGATCAGAGAGGGTTTCTTTATTTTATATTCGATTACTGCTCCTTTATCTGCTTGTAGAAAATATCTGTCCATTTGGTATTTTCTTATCTCGTTTTTAGTTTTGAGTGATTGAGTGGTTACAAACCAATCAATGCATTATTTCCTTGGAGACAAAGCACACCATCCATTTCCTAAGCCAGAAAAATAAATGTTACAGCCATTTAATTCTATTATTACATGCATTTCCTGCTGTGCTTTTTCTCATTTTCATCATTGAAACTCCTTTTTCCTTTGTTCCTGCCCATCCTTCAGTCACATTTATACACATCCATGCTCGTGAAGACTCACTGTTACACACATCCCAACTCTTTCCACTGCAGTGAAACCAGCTCCATCTCCCCACACTGAGGCTGAGGGTTCTGAAGGTGGAGCGTTTTGCTTTATTGCAGGTCTATTCCACCAGGCTTTTCCTGATGCTGGGCTGCAGCAAAGCAATTCTTTTTCTCCATATCCCGAGGCCATTTCCGTGGCCTGCCTACGCTGCTGCCCACAACGCACAGGAGCAGCAATGCCTCCCAACCCTCTGCCCAGGATTTCACACCCCATGTCTGTCCTAATTGCAGAATTTTGCTTGGAGAGATTTCTTTTATTTTGTTTTCCTAAGGGAAAGAAAATCATCAGAATTAAAATAATTGTAGGAGAGGAAAGGTGCTGTTCCTTCTTTCATTGGAAATCTCAACAGGCAACACCAAAAGGGACCCACTGGCCAGAACACAAAGCTTTCCAAATCTGGAGCTGGATGCTGAGAAACAAGCCCCTTCCTACTCCATTCCACTTTTTCAGAGGCACTGGGAGTTACTGGGTTTTGTGCTGGGGGTCAGCTGGGAGGGCTGTACTCAGAGGTGCATCTGGGACCCTCATTTTCTCACCATCCTCTTTTTAGCTGCGCTGCAGGGATCCCCAGCATCCCAGCAGCCCAGACACCCTTCCTTAGCACCATAAAACCCCATGGTGGGTATTAACACCGTGTGTTTGCCCCCCCAGGGCCTGCGGGCAGCAGACAACGACCCCACAGCCCCCCCCTACGATTCCCTGCTCGTCTTTGACTACGAGGGCAGCGGCTCCACCGCCGGCTCCGTCAGCTCCCTCAACTCCTCCAGCTCCGGGGACCAGGACTACGACTACCTTAACGACTGGGGGCCCAGGTTCAAGAAACTGGCGGACATGTACGGGGGAGGCGAGGAAGATTAAACTGACCTCATGTTATTTAAAAAAAAAAAAAAAAAAAAAAAAAAAGGAAAAAAAAAAGAAGAAGAAGAAGAAGAAGAAAAAAATTTAGGAGAAAAGAAAAAGAAAAAAACAACAAACCCACAGACGACAACGTTAACAAAAAGAGCCGATGCAGGAGCAAGAACTGTACAGATGTGGCAGCTTTTTTAATTAATATCCCCTGCTGACTGTATTGTTATTTTTAGTGGCGATATAGGAGGTTTCTTTTTTTTTCTTTTCTTTTTCCTTTCCATTTTTTTTCTTAGAATATTGAGCTGTCTCGCATGAACACTTGTCTCTGCTGCAGGTTTCTTTTTGTTATTTTGTTTTTTTAATGTCAGCTGGGATATTGCTCGTTTACCTGCTTTATGACTAAAGAGAGTGAAAGGCACTCTGTCTTAACTTGAATTTCTTAGAACAGAAGCACTGTTTTTAAAATATATATATATATATATATTTGAAAGTGCCTTTTGGTGCATGTGTCAGATTCCCTTCAATCTCAGGAGTGATGAAAACAAACATACAACCATCCTGGGCAGCACTCCCTGTGACCCTAAGCCAGTTCTAGCTGGGAAGGAGTTAACAAAAAGGAACTGTGGAGATTGTTTCTTTTTTTTTTTTTTTTTTTTTTTTTTTTTTTAAGGGGGTGACTCATTCTGGGGTCAAAAGAAGGGGGGGAGGGGGGAAGATGTTTTGAGTCGAAATCTTAACAGCCATCTTTAAGCCTCGGCAGGTGGTGAACTAGTCATCATGTTGTATATAATTCAGTGTTATCAGATGCAAAATAGCGACCAGGGCCTCTGCCAGGCCCTGGTCACACTCAATGTAGCTGCATAGAACTATAGCATTGATAAAGCCTTTGGTTATTGCAACAGAAATCTCCAACAGCCCTTGCCTAAACCCTACAAAGTAAATCGTGACATGACCAAAGGCCCATCTGTTTGTTTTTATGCTATCGCCGTGTTTTGGCTCCCACGACCTCTCGAGTGATGTCTGTACCAGCTGGGTGAGGTGGTGGTGTCCCGCATCCCCGAGGATGCCCAACACTGGTGCTGCTCTCCTGGGGTGAGGCAAGGGTTTGTGTGGCGGCTCCGCTCGAGGCCGAGGCAGTGCGAAGGACAGGGGCAGGTTATCCACACTTTTCCCATCCGTAAGTATGGAGTTAGTGTAGTATCACATTAATGCCTTGGAGCATTAGTAGCCAAAGCTCAACAACATCGTGTAACTCAGCTAATGTGTGTCCTTTCTATTCGATGGGTAGGCGCTGCTATCTGTAGTAAATGTGTTTTTTTGGAGAAGAAGTGCAACAAGGGCCTATTAAGTATCTTGTGGTTAATATGCTCAAGCATTGCCAAGTAAGCAAGAGGTTTCGCAGCATCCAGGCGTAATTCAACATCAGTATTATAAATGGTAGCAAACTACCTAGTTTATATGTAGGGTCAGTTTAACCAATAACAAATAGTTATTAGCTTTTTTTATTACATTTTTCCTTTACTGATTTGGACTAGTGGGTTTATGTCTAATGTTTGTAAAATGATTTAGACTGCATGGATGTGTAATATAAACCACATTTAATGGATTATGAGCCACTTAATTAATGTGCTATGAAATCTTGGATTACCTGTGTTTTATATTCTGCAGACGATTTTGCAGTGGGTTCGCTAAAACTTGTAAAAGTGCTTAGATATATTTTCATTTAAATCCAAGAATGTGCACAGTATTGGAAGGTGATTATCCAGGGGATAATCATGCTTTTTTTGATATCTCTATTAATTCTCAAGTTGAATGCTAAGAGTTAAAGGGGGGGCGGGGGGAGCGAGCGCGTGCACACGAGAGCGAGAATGAGAGGACGAGAGCTTGCGGTGGTGAGTGGGCGCCTTTCAGAGGGTATACTGGGCTGCAAGATCGTCTCTATAGATTTTTGAAATGCTCCTAGTGCATTTTATATTTCATTGTATCATATTTTCTATAAAATGCAATTTCTGTAAATTAATGAGCATTTGAAATGTGTCTTGTATGAAGTGGAATGTGGTAAAAAGTCTGCCCGAGGGGACTCACTGGTATGTTATTAACTACCAAGGATGCGATCTTTCTTTTTGTCTTGGTTGGTCAGTCAATGGGTCAGTTTGTCTTTCACAGCTCAGAGAGCAAACTCACTCTCACCCAAGTTTCCTGAGGAAACCAGGAGGCAATGGCTTAGACCTCAGGAGAGGGACGGCACCAATGGCAGCAGCAAGGCGAGGATGTCATGCCACAGGCATGGGCTGGCAGCACATGCCTTGGCCAGGATGAAGGGCAGTGCCTGGCAAACTGCCAACACCTGACACTTTTCCAAATTCCTGTTCCATAGTTGTGAACTCAGTTGTCTTGTGTGACCACTATGAAAGTCTTAGTTTGTTCCTGCCATGTGCCATCCCCCTCCTCCTGGCCACTCTTGGCAATCCTCACAGCCCCCCTTCCCAGCAGCCTGGCACAGAGGCTGCATGGCCCCACAGCCTCTGCTCTTTACCCATGGCATTCTTGGTTCTTCCCCTTTTCTTTTGGAAAAGCCACAGGCTTGAATTATTTCACCGTCTGGGCTTTACACCTCGACAGAAGCTGCCCAGGCACGGCAGTGGTGAATAATAAAAGTGAACTTGGTGTTTCTTGGTGCCCGTTGGCGCGTTGTGTCTGTCACTGTAACCTCACCACCAACACAGGAGAAGGATCGGCTCCAGGGCCGGGTCATGCCAGTGATTCTCCATCCCTTGGGTTGTTGCCGCTGCCTGCCGGCTCTGTGCAGCTCCCAGGATGCTCGTGTGGATCCTGCAGTGCCCGCCAGGTCTCCGCTGTAAGCCGTGCCCTGCAATCCACCTGGCACCACTTACCTGGGAGCAGCAGCTAAATCCCTGCTCCACAGCGCTCGGTGTGTGACATCTGCTGCAGCTTTGGCTGGGATGGTGGATTTCAGGTAGGGAAGGGGCTGGCAGCGATGTGGGTCGGTGGCTGCAGGGACATCGGCAGCGTCCGTCGTCCCTCTGTCCCCAAGGGACCTGCCATGCAGTGAAAGGAGCTGTTGTCAGATTTCAGCTTGTCAAAACATTTCAGGTTTTAAAGAACATTTATGCAACCTGAGTCCAAACAGAACTGTTTGAGTGATTAAAAATAAACCAACCTGTTTCCATTGGCGACTTTTTTTTAAATCAGCGGATATGTTTTTCTGCAGCATTTGCAATCCAGCTGTTCCAGCCCCATGAGCCTGTAAATCAAACCAACCACTTTAGTGTGTTTTGACCCAATTCTGCTCAGTCTCCTTCTGCAGGACCTCCTCCTTCTTTTTCTCCTCCTCTTCCTCTTCCTCCTTCTCCTCCCTGCATCCTCCCCCACTGAGTTTTACAGCCCCACAAGGAGCAGCAGCATCTCCTTGCAGTGGGACCAACAGAAGGTAAGCAAGGGGCACATCCAGCAATGCAAACAGATCGCTTTTTACAAACCTGTTTGCTTCTTAATGTTACTGATGGTTTGTAGCCCAGCTAAGAAAACTTATATTAATCCAAGGAGTCCCATTCAGAAGGTGACTGTACCATCACTCTGTCCCCCTCTGATCCTCATGGATGTGACATGGTGTTGCCAGTTGCAGCTGCAGGTGACAATGACTTGCAAGGAGCTGGGGTGGGCAGACAACCACTTTGGCTGGTGTACAGTTGCTGTTTATTCTTACAGGCCACAGGTGATGAGTGCATTGAGACCAGAGTCCTTGTTCCCTGACCAATCTAGACTAAGGCATTAAACTAAGGAAGTGGTCCCCCTTCTTTGCACACCACAAGACTGTGGGGAAGGACTTGCTTTCAGGCAGGTGGAGGGGATCCCATCCCTGAAACACCACTGTCCCACCCTGTAATCCTGTACCCCTTAGCACTGCCAGGGCGCACCACCACAGCTCTCCCTGCTGTCTACGGGATGAGGACGGTGAGTTTCCAGGACACTGAGGCATGCTGGACACCTCTGGTGGCCTCCCTACCTCCTAAGGTTGAGGATTGCACATCCCCAGGCCAGGGACTGTGCAGGTCCAATGTCACTGCTGTACCGACAGCCACCTCCAGCAGAGCATGACCACAGCTCTGGTGGTCTGTTTATCATGTAGCCTAATAACTGGGAGACCCATCAGCATGGAAATGCTTTGCAAGGCAAGGAGGACATTCATCAGGGAATTAGTGACAGTAAATAGGCAAGTCTGTCCTGGGTGTCCTACACACTAGTCATAGTTCCGCTTCTGGTTTTGCATTTCCTTTTCCTTATTTTTTTGTGTTTTTTTGTTGGACCGGGCGATGCAATTGGGGGTTGTACAGCGGTGATGGGGAGTTCTCTCCCTGTGGGTTTTTAGGGATAGTCAGGTCCAAATCCAGCCTCCAGAAGTAAGAACTTTGGAGCTGTATCACCTGTAAGCGCTTCACGTAGCATAAACACTCGGGCATTGGAGAATGGTAATGGACAGTGCAGAGTCTGCACCACACAATATGCCAAGATTGCAACTTTGTTTAGTCAAAAAAAAAGAAAACATATTAAAGGTAAAATATGGGACTTTTTTTGGTGATGTCTTTTGGAGCTCTTCATTGTAAGTGTGAAAAAAATATTAGGGGGGATGCTGTACAACGACGAATGCGTGTGTTTAAAGCAGCAGCCAGACAATGTAGGTGGCTCCCACGCAAATTAACTCAGTTTCATGAGGAAAATAAAAGTTCTTTCCAGTACACACCAAACCCCACATACAACTGCTCACACACAGTGTACATAATGTAGTTAGTGCTTGAAGCTACCAATCAATAGGGGAAAAAGAAACAACAACAACAACATGTAGATGTATAATTGGAGCACTTTCTCTTTCTTTTTTTTTTTTTTTTTCTAATTTGAGCGATGATTTTGCATGTTTCCTTTACGATGGAGAAGCTGTGTAGCAGCCCGCATGACTGTGGTTGTTCTCAAGGAAGACTTCTGCTGTTCCGCTGTATTCACGCTGAAGCGCAAAAAGCAGTTTGCGTCC